CCCTACCACAGATCTTACAATAGTTAATAACATTAAAATAAAGAATAAATAAAAGAAATTATTTTAGAGATATATTCTAGTAGTTATAATTAATAGTAAGGTAACATAAAAAATCTCTTGAGGTTCGGTTTACCATTTTTTTCGATTGAAAAGGTATCCTGTAAAAAAGCCCCGTGGGCCACATTAAAACCAATCTTTTCATAGATAAGGAAGCTGAAGAAGGTAACCAATAGGTAACAAACAAATTGGATGATAAATTATTGTTTTGGCTGATTTGAGGCACGGTCAAAACTGACACGTTAACATAAGAGACAGTAACAGAAAGCTAACACAAGAGGAAGGACAAGCAGTAAAAATCAAAGAACATATACAGCAGCAGCATCTATATCTATATATCTCAAGACATACGTCAAATCCATCATCAGAATGGACAAACATATATTTACCATCACTAATGATGCATTCAGATGAGCAAAACTAGCTTCTAGAAGTCATTCATAATGGTTCCAAATATATAAATATATATATACATATCTGAACACTGAGAATGTCAGCACAGTGTTAGCATTTGAAGCTTCTGCTGCTTGTGTGAGGAATTGTTTTTGGCTCATTGTGGTCTCTTTAATATCAGGTAATCAAGGTAAGAATTATGTAATCTGTGGACTAAAGCAGCATCCATACAGGAAGCAATCTGATTATTCAGCATTACTTTGCAGCTGATGGTTGGTTGTTAGAACACATTCAAGGCTCCAATTAGCTAGTTAACCCTCTAATATATTTACACTACTGTAATAAGTCAGTCAATGATATCTGCAGTCGTTGCTTAGATTGTTTGAAATACCATACTACACAATTTCTACAGTAAGATTTCATTTTCTGCAGAGGACTCTTGGTTACAGTGAAGTACTTACTTTGAAAGCATACTCATTGATAGTCTCAATTACTTCAACGAAGGGCACTTTGGAAGTAAGTGTGTGTCCGTGATAGATAACTGGTTCTCCTTTGTCTCCATCCCAACAGTCCAGCTCCACACACCGACAGCCATGTTTTAGAGCTCTAAAAGACAAATTCAAGCTTTGTGAGTAAAGGTGTACCTTGGGTTAAGAAAAAATTACATCTTAAACACCTTTTATTACATATTTCTGAAGTAAAGTAAATTTAAAGTAACTTAAAAAAAATATGGCATTTAATTACTTTTTGGACAAATGTAACATCAACAA